GACTTCCAGAGAAAGAAAGAGCACTTCCAGACGCCATTCTGTGATAAAAGCAGGAGAAAGAACCAGAAAAACCGTGAAGAACCAGAAAAACGTGAAGAACCAGCGAAAAACCTAGGGTTGCTCACGGTTTTCTTCAAGGGGGAGCTTCTGGACACACCAAAGTGAGATTTTGAGGGGCAGAACGGACAGAGGAGCAGAGGGCGACAGCTACAGAGGTGGCGCGGCGACTTTCCGGTGAGCGGAGGGCGGCGCGTGTACAGCACGCGCCTGATCGCAGCGCACAAAGAGGCGGCGCGTGGCGGAGCGTGGAGGAGAATCAGGCGAGCCCACCGGTGGGGTTGGCCGTCGCGTGAAGAGGCGAACCAGATCTAGTGGTCGCCGGACGGAACTGTGACGGCGGACGGCGGAGAACGGCGGCGGACGGCGGCGAACGGTGGTGGACAGCAGCGGACAAATGTTGTATGGCGGACAACCAAGTTGGAGAGCTCCAAACTGCAGTTGACAGCTGCAGATAATGGCGAGACAGCCGCGGACAACGGCGAACGGCACCGGACAGGTGCAAACAGCAGTGACAGTGCTGGTGGACAGGAAACCAGAGCAGGATGAACCTGCTCTGATACCAACTTGAGATCTAAAACAGAGAAAAATAGTTCTAAAGGGCTTGAAAGACCCTTCTCAGTTCTATCATTTATATAGATAAAAATATGATACAATACATAGATGAAAGATGAAGAGATTGTCCTAGACTGCTAGGAACAATCATTATAGATACCCCAACACACAACTGCCTACTTTAGGCCCTGCTATACTAGGTAGACTTAATAATTATTCTAACAGACACGTTAGACAATAGTGTGATAATATGTAATTTAAAATAGTTAAAAGATGAGATATATTTACTCTTTAGGTTTTTATATTAGTTTGTATAGTTAATACTACAATTGTTTATCAACTCGTTCAAGTTTCACTATGCAACTACTCTTGGCTAAACTGAGTATTGTGTGGACAGGGAGGCACCATTGACTAAAACATGATTACAAAGAAAGTGATCAAAAGATCAGAATGATGCGAACTAAAAAAGGATGAATACAGGGTTAGTGTTCTATCTAAAGGAATTTCATAGGCTAGAGCACAAGATTGTTGCAAGCGTATTCACTTAAAAGATTCTTATGTGGCATCAATCTTTCTTCTTGAATTTATAGAAGTCTTGAGAAATATAACCATTGCAAATCCTTTCTTGTCGTTGTGTAGTCTTGAAGTGTTCTTTGTACTTCAAGAGTTGCAATAAATGATCTTTATGCAACAGTTAATGCAAGTTTCTTCTTCAAGATATCTTTGGTATAAAACATGACTTATCAAACCTAGGTCAAATAAATTTTATCTAATTGAGTAAAACTCAAGACAGTTCACGGTGGATGATCTATGCAAAGGTCTCAGACAGTCTTTTTAGAGTTGCTGATTTTTGACAACTTTGACACTATGAGAGATCTTAGATGTTGATGTTTCTTGTGAGATCTTCTTGTTGGTCAGATGAAAGAATATTCTTTGCAAAAATGTAGTATAAGCATTTATAAGTTGATTTACATGGAGCAACTTCTCAAATTTGTTACTTAGGAGGAGTTTTTTGGATTGGTATTTGGTCTTCTATGTCGTCTTCACAAATTATTAACAATTTGGTGTCACTCGAGTGCAGAAGTAGATATTTTTACTAAGCTTTATTGATTATATTAGTAATAAGCTTGGTACATACGATTTGTATGCACAAGCTTGAGGGAGAGTGTTAGATATATTATCTTTATCTTTTTTTTATCTTTTATCTTTAGTTAGTTATTATTTCTTATTTGTATTTTGGGCTTAGTTCATATTTAATAGAAGAACCCTATGTGTATATTACACACAAGGGAGCTTAATCCTATACATAGTTTTTACTATATTCAATAGATTGCAAAAGAAATGTCACAACGAGTAACTGTAAGATAGTTTAATTTTTCAACTAATCTTTTACACTTCTCAAGATCTAAAAGGAGCTTCCACTGATTAGTTAGGAGTTTGGCATTGGGATTCCTGTATCTATCAATAGGCTTTGAATTCTTTAACCTAATTTTCTCCAAAATATCCAATACATATTTCTTTTGCACTTATGAACAATGGGTTCATGGTAGAGGCAAGGATTAAACTTAGCTCTAAAATATAAGAGAAAGAAGCATAGATTGAATTCCTAATGTGTATTAAGCACATAGGGTTTATGTATTTATAAATATGAAAATACAAAGAGATGGGTTTAAGCCTGTTACATCTAACACTATTAATTAGTTTGATCTTGATCTTTTATGTTGCTCGAAAGCATGGCAATGGAATTGTCGATATCTATCTCTATCTCTTCTATCTCTTCCTATCTGTTAGTTCTTTCCTTCACTCCTTTAGATGATGGTTGGTTTAACTCCCTTGAAGTCAGGCATCTTGATAACTTTCATGCATCAGTAGTCTGACCGAGTAAGCAACTCTCTTTGTAGTGACTCCAGGTAGGAATCTTACCTGCTGATACTCTTATGGAATTGGGAATCTGTTTTGAGATATGGACATTGAGAGCAACTAACTGCCATTATTTCAAAGCTTATTTATAGATGGAGACCTGGTTCCTGGTAAAGCATCATTCTCTGGGCAAGACTAAGAGGTTGAAAGAAAGAATTAGATAGCTCAGCATCTACTGAAGTTGATTCCTTGTCTTTGATTATGGAGATTGAGTTTCACAACCCAGCTCCCCCGCTTGAAAGCTTCCTCTTTATGACATACCTGCCTTTCCCACCATTACAAGCAAGCCCTCTTTTTGGTCATTTCTAAAAGAAAGAATTGATTGACAAATCTCCATGTTAACTCCTCTAATGGATTTCTTGGCTTGAAACTTTCAGTTCTCTTACTCCACGACAGGGCTTTCCCTCATATGGTACGCTTTATAGAAGGTTCTTTCTGTCCAATACGGGCCAGCAACTCTCAGCTGGAAGAAGATTGACTGCATTGCCAAATTCCAACTCTGCTTTTAGCTCCGTGCCATATGAAACGCCACGTTTATGTGTATTTGGCATATTAATACGCAACATATCTTTATTCTGTAAATTATTAGCATGGAATACCAAATTTTCTCTCACAACAGAATAAAATTTCCAGCCATTTACCCTCTCCTAGAATGTGTTTGGTGCTGAAAATTTAACTGGATTTCATGCTTGTTCTGAAAATTTAATAACTTATGGAATGGCTAGTGAATTTGATATTGAATGCAAGTGTTAAAAAAGTTAATTTGTGTCCATGGTGTTGCGGCCAGTTATGTGGTTACCTTTTAATCTTGTGTTGCTGAGTATGCCTTTTTGTTTTTCAAACCGTATCTTATTTTCTCACTTTCCATATAGATACTTTGTAAAATTAATATTATGCGAACACGTATTCTATGTAAATAATTTGAATTTCATCTTGCTAGTGTGCAGGATGTCAACGGTATCACAAATTAGTTGATAATCTTGGGCTTATCACAGAGTATGACTTTCGGGAGAAAAGAAACATCGACTCAGAAACTGATCGAGTTTGATGTAATAACTTGTAAAAGTAGAGACATTTGGGCTTATTATTTTCAAAATTAAAAAATTTAGATCCATTACTATTTCTGAGAAAAAGAAAAATCATAATCATAGATTCTCATTATTCAGTTCTATGCACCTGAAATAATTCTATAGTTTGCAAAACAAGATACCTCACTAAAACGAATCCGTGGTTACCATGAGATTGCTAGCAGCTGTAGCCAGTCACAGCCAGCAAAACAGTAATATCTAAACTGATATATTTCTCCCTTTCTGGGGTTTGATGGTGCCGCATTCTGAGAGGTGAAAAAAATTATCAAAACAGTGTGATACTGAGATCATATTTTAGAATTTGTTTAATAAGAATTCATTTTTTACCTAAAATAGTTTCTTTTAATTAAAATATTGTTTTAACAAATTTATACATAAATACTTTTAAAAAATGGAAATACATAGATTAAAGTAAAATAAGTTTGTTCACAAATTAAAACCAAATTATAAGTTAAAAAATTATATTTCTTTACGTTAACGTGAAAAAAAATTTGACAAATTAGCTTATGAACGAGTTAATTTTAATTTATGAATAAACTAATTTGATCTTATAAATTTATTTTATTTAAAATAAAATTCTTTAGAAATGCTTATTGAAATGTTAGGTTAAATACTTTTAGTCAATTAACTAGTGAAATTAAAATTCATTCATATTGAAACTTTGATATATTTGAATTTTTAAATTTAAAGAAAATATATATATAATTTTTTTAATTTAATGTTAAAATATTTTAACATGATAAACAAGTTTTTCGATTATTATTAAAACAAAAATATATCAAACAGTATTAAGTAAAACGTGGTTGTGATGTCTTGCTTTATTCTTTTATTCTTTATAGCAAAAGTAATCTTTTACATTTCACCTTCCTGTTCTGCAGGATATGTCTATATTAGTTAAAAATCTTGAACTTACCATGGAGTTACATTAGAGACAAAATAAAAATAAACATACAGAAACTGATCATGTTTGATGTAACAAGACTAGAGGCATTTTGTTTGACATTTCCTGATTATTTCAATAATTCAAAAATGCATATCCATTAATACTTCTGAGCAAAGATCACAAAAAAATAAAATAAGAATCATAGGTATAGATTCTCATTATTTAGATCTATGCACATTAAAAATTTGATATTTTGCAAACCAAATAACTCATTAAAGTGAATCCTTGGTCACCATGAAATTGCTAGCAGCTGTAGCCGGTCACAGCCAGAAAAACAGCAGCTGCAAGCCCAGCTGTTGCCCATATATTTCTCCCTTGCTGGTGATTTGGTGGAGAAGCATTCTGTGAAAGGAGAAAAAAAAATGATCAAAACTGTGATACTGATGAGACAAATTGGTAAAGATGGCAAATATCCATATATGATTGTAATTTGGTATTTCACTAGACAAAGATATTACCAAATTCAGACTTGGTGATGGTGCTGGTGTTGTGTCTGATTCTGCTGTGGAATCAGGTGGTGCAGGTGGGCTTTTGCGGATAATGGTTGGTGCTGGAGCAGGTGCTTGATGTCTCCGGTGCCTGTGCCTGTGCCTTCTATGTTTATGTGATGATGGTGCCGGTGCTGGTACCTCTACTACTGGTGTTGGTGCCAGTGTTGGTGGTGGAGGAACAGGAGATGGAGTTGGAGCTGGCTTTGCTGGTGCAGGTGCTGGTGCTGGTGTTGCCTTTACTGGTGCAGGAGTTGGGGGTGTTATGGCTGGTGTAGGGGCTATCTTTGGTGGCGGCAATGGTGGTGGTGTAGCAACTGGTGGTGGCGGTAGTGGGGGTGGTGATGTGGGAGGTGAGACAGGAGATGGTTTTGGTGGTTGTGGTGGAGTTTGGGGTGGTGGGGCTTTGGGGCTTGAAGCTGGTGCAATCTTGGGAGAAGGTGGTGTCACAGGAGCTACAGTTGTAGGTGGTGGGGATGTTGTTGGTGGTGTGGTTGTAGTGGGAGGGGATGCCACCACTGTTGGTGGCTGTGTTGCCACCGGTGGTGTGGTAGAAGAGGGAGATGTTGCAGCTGGGGTTGTAGGTGGCAACTGCACTGGGGGCACAGTTGCAGGTGCTTGGGCATTGGAAGGTAGCTGGAAGCAGAGGCACACTAAAACCAATGACCAGAACACCACAGCCATTGTATGTTGAATGTTTGTGATGTGGTTGGAATGAAGAGAGTTTGCTTGTCTTATATATGACCTATTGAAAAGCACGAGGTTGAAACGTATGGAGTGAACTATCTGTGGAAGGAAGGATGTAGCCTTCATGTGATTGTGACATCATTTACACATTAATCATCTAACAAGTTAGCTTCCCTTGGATCCAGGGGGACCCTTGAAATCCCAGGTCCTAGTCGTTTAGACTTCTGTCATGACCTAACCTAACTTGCTTCTTATTTCTCATTTTCCTAGACAAAAGGTTGGGTAGCAAGGAGGGATGGAATGAATAAAAAGTTTCATGTTAATGAGAACATGATTTCACCTACTCTTTTCTACACATACCTATATCTAAGTACGAGGTCTCAATCACTTTCTGTTAGTACTTGATGGTTAGAATTTCACATTGATGGTGATGTTTTATCAGCAGTTTAATCGTTGTACATACTCTATCTCTATGTTTCTTGCAAGTGATCTCAAATATTCACCCCCTTTCAAAAGAAATGAAATGGGACAGTGACAGACAGACTTTACTATATCATTCATTACATTCTAGTCATCATCTTAAGCGTTTGAAGTCATTACTTGAAATTAAAGATGACAACAGTGGCTTGGCAACGTCTGAGATTATTGTTCTTGACAGCTTAACTGATTGAAGACTCCAGATAAATCGAACATTGTACTTTTCACAAATGACCATATTCATTCAAGTTCAAAAAAATTTTACAGCTCGTTTAAAACATGGAAAAATGTGTCAGGTTGTTTTATAAACAGAACATTATGTGGAAAACGTCATGTATCTTGTTGAGTATTTTGGAAGGGTGGTGGTGAGAAACAGGGAGACAAGAAGGGTCCTTTGGGGTTTCCTCTTTCTTCGTTTTCCTTCTTAGCTGAAAGAATTGCTGCATTGCATCTGCACACTCTGTGGCTAAGACCCCTCTTCTTATTTTCATCTTTGGATGGAATGGATGAATTGGGGCAGGTGGCACATCTCTTGCTTCTGATGCATTTTCTCCTCCGTCCGGGAAAAGCCTGCAAAAAAAGGTTCAACAAGGAGCTGTAAGTAATATTTGACGTACTGTGCTTTCAAGATCATTTCATGTGCAGAGCTTTCAAGAAAAATTTCAAAAGCGAACTCAATTTCAGATTGAAGAAATGTAACTCAGCTGAGTTTCTGGAAAAGTAAATTAGAAGAAAATTCACATAAAATGTTGAGAACGGGACTGATACAGAAATGGCCTCTTTATAACACAAGTA